GCACGCAGGGAGGGCTGCGCCCATGGCTGCCCACAGCGACGAGCGGTCCCCGGTAGCGTTGGATCGAACGAGCACGCGTGCCATGGTGGAGAAGGGAGAAGGGAGCGACGGGGTGGAGCGAGCAGCAAGGCATGGCGCCACAAGAGGGGCCAGGCAGTGGTTGGGAGAAGCTCTGCCGCTTGGCAATGGCGGCCAAGGCCGTGGCGCCCGTGGCAGCAGAGCGGAGGAGGGCGAAGGCATGCGCGAGGGAGTTCCAGAGAGAGCCAGCGGACATGGAGAGCTCGGGCGCTCAGTTTGGAGGAGCAGGGCGTGAGGCCGCGTGTGGCGCAGAGCTTGGACGCGCGTCAGCCATGGCGGGCACGCTCCGGTGCATGGCTGCCACGACGCCATTTCGTGGAACATGTGGCGCGCGCGATGGAGCCCGACTTGGAGTCCGTTTTCGGCATATTCCGTGCACATTCGGACCTTCGCGCCAGTAGCAAAGTTGCTCTACTCTGGATGCTCTACAAACTTGATTAAGGCTGCATGGTCATTAGAGCAGTAGATTAGCGGCTAATGACACTCCAAGATGGCAGTGTCAGTGCATTAACGGCGATTAACAACCTCCAGAAATTGATGGGCAAAATGAAGTCAACTGAGTGTCATCTTCATACATGCTCTTCTCCATCATGTATACTCCAACTTTTATTTTGGGACCTGCTCACTTTGCTTAACAAAATCACGAGAACGCAAGATGCCAATGGCGACGACGATGAATTCCAGACTTAGAAAAATTCTAAGTCTAAAAACAGCCGTTGATTCAATTTTTGAGCCTCTATTTGACTTAGTTCCAAGCTGATCTAGCTCTTAGTCGAAAAACCAAGTTTGTTCTACATGATATGGACTACAACTTTCATTTAAGGTCCAACCTCAAAACTGGTATAGAACTTACTGTTCTACTTTGACCAATGTAGGATCACGATGAAGCTTAAATTATCTTTTTTGATCCATTGGAGCATTTTCTGGCCACCTGCTCAACATGAACCCTTCATAACTTTTGTTCATGAGTGCAACTAGAGTTGTTTGAGTAAGGTACCAAGGTTTGGTTGACTTCATAGGTTTCCATCCACTTGATAAAGCAATTCATGCAAAGATATGACTTATCATTTCATGTGACTTTTTGATTCCAAACTTCATGAAACTTTTCCACGGGTCTAGATGGATGCATGGGGATGTAATGTACATGGAATAAGCATGTTTAACATTACTCTTGCATAATCTTAACAAGGGTCCATATGTAAGCAAATGTGCGTGGCCCAAGTTTAAGTTGGAGCTCTGTCATGTAGATTTGATCTTGACACCTTCATTACCACTCGACATGTCATGTTTGAGCTCAAACCCATTGCTTAACTGGTGACAAACACCTGGGGTGTTACAATACTTATCCATAAACGCCCTTTAGACTAATAGGCTAGCAATGCTTAGCCAAGCTTAGCTTTAAGAGTCGAATGAAGAGTTCATCATTCGCAATGGTTCTATCCTCAAGAAATGTTCTGAAAGTTAATGATGGTAGTTAAATTAATCTGAGACCGGGTGGACTCTTTGCTTGCATCAAGAATTGAGTCTTGTTGTAGTGCCCCGCCTATGTCGGTTAAGGACTGTTCGTTGTAGGCCTGTTGTGATCGAAACTTTGTAGTACTTACCACATACTCCGGTAAGCAGTTCTTATTTTTTTTAATTAGAGCAAAGGAATGCACCAAGCGTAACTCCAATTTTGCTAAAAGAGGATGGAATATTTTAAATGAGTTCAAGTAAACTACAGACACACCAACGTCCAAAGTTAAAAGAACCAAGTGATAAACAAGTTTATCATAATTTCCTAGTTACTAAATCATAAGCAGGACCATGACTAAGCATAATTGTAAGGTTATCCGAGTATATCAAGACAAAGGTAGAAAGTAAACAAAGGAGAATGGCATCAATGGAGTAATATAATTAAAGGCTCATTAATTGAGCATACTTATGGTTTTATATAAAATATTTCTCCGTCCAAAAATAAGTGATGGTTTATGTTTGTCCTAAGTCAAACAATTTTAACTTCGACCAACTTTATATGAAAGAACATTAATATTTAGACACCGAATAAGTAAAATATGAAAGTATATTTCATGATAAATCTAATAATACTTATTTGGTATCATAAATATTAGTACTTTTTTGTATAAATTTGGTTAAATTTGAAATGGTTTGACTTAGACAAATCTAAAACATCATTTATTTTGAGAGAGAGGGAGTACTTTGTTTTTTTTTCTTGACATATGTTTAACATATGTCAAAGATTGGTAGACTTGGCTCCTGGTGACTCGTACTGGCCAACTTCAGCTAACAAATATCAGTGATCAGACCCGTGCAGTGTCTACAATCGATAGAAGGAAGCTAACAAATATCACAAAATAAACTCATACTATGAATCTCATTGGACTCGAACGGATTCAATCGGAGATTGAACAGAAAACATATGAACACTAAATAAAAGTTCTAAAGTACATGAACAATATATATATATATATATATATATATATATATATATATATATATATATATATATATATATATATATATATATATATATATGCTAGATTCCAGTTTAGATCGATTTAGTTTAGATCCAGTTCACGATGTGTTTGGTTTTTTTCTCCTAAACTTTAGTCGCTGTCTTATCGGATGTTTGTACACATGTATGGAGTATTAAATATAGACTAATTATGAAACTAATTGCACAGCTTGCAACTAATTTGCGAGACGAATCTTTTAAGCCTAATTAGTCCATGATTTGATAATGTAGTGCTACAGTAAACATGTGCTAATGTCGGATTAATTAGGCTTAATAAATTCATCTCGGGGAGTACTGACGGATTATGGTCCCGTTCGACTTGCTGAAACTTGGCTGAAAGTGGCTCAAAAACACTATTCTGGCTGAAATGTTTTGAAGAAAAACACTGTTTTGACTAAAAAATAAGCCGAACAAATCGAATATAAAATAAGCCAAACATAGCTTTATATAATTTATTTTTTTTATTGGTATCAAAACCCATAGTCCTCTAAATTTTAGTCACCGCTCCGAACACCCCCTCAGTCCGTTTGAACTGGACCAAACCAGTACATGCTGGGTGGTTCGGCCTTCAAGTCCACGTATGGCCCGTTGGACTTCGTGCATGGCTTTCGGTGGCAGTGAGCGACGAGACGACAATGGACGCGTATCGAAAGATGTGGACACGCATTCCAACGAAACAATTGTTAAGCTGAGGCTATGTTTAGTTCGCGATAAAAAATTTTAGACCTCACATCGGATATTTCAGAGATGTTGTAAAAGGTTTTCGAATATTAATAAAAAAATTAATTACATAGCTGGTCTGAAAACTACGAGACGAATTTATTAAACCTAATTAATCTATCATTAGCACATGTTGGTTACTGTAGCACTTATGGCTAATTATGGTTTAATTAGGCTTAAAACATTCTTCTCATCATTTTCAATCTAACTGTGCAATTAGTTTTTTTCGTCTATATTTAATGCTCCATGCGTGTGCCGTAAAATTCAATGTAATAATTTGAGGTGAAATTTTTTGAAACTAAACAGGGGCCTGAGTGCGAAAGATTGGCTTTACATACGAGGAGGTCAACCAGTGTATATATATATATATATATATCCGCCGGGCTGCCTTGGGTACATCTGTTACGAAGTCGCTTGCTATTAAAACAGTTGCTTGCTATATGTAAAGGACGCACTTCTTATTGACCTCTGCCTGAAAATTAAGCTCATGGACTGGAGGCAGCATGCATGGTAGAACCGTACCTATGCAATGGTGCATGAACGAGGTGTGCGGTCACTTTGGATTTGACTCCTGGCGAAGGCTCGTCACTATACCAAAATTGCTTCCACAATTTCTTGGGCTGGCGTCGATGATATCTTCTCCGATCTTGTTCCTCTTTCGCGGTGTTCATCGTGAAGATCGTCGCCGTGGACTGGTTGCCGCTGAGGCCGTCCTTGACACCATCGATGCCGACTTCCTCCGAAGATGTGGTTGTTCATCTTCGTCATTCACGGAATCACGGTCTTCTTTTCTCGTCGAAGTCCAGGGAGGGGTGAAACCCTGGGAGAGCAAAGTGCGTGATAATGGTGCCGTTCGCGTGTCTTTAAACCCGGCTCGATCCGTTTATTTTTTCATCCGGAATAGTATTTTTCTCTTACAAATTTCTCCAGCATTCCTCCAAAATTTAGAGAAGCGAACAGGCCCAACGTATTAGAAAGTGAGAGCGATAGAGATCAAGTGATGCAAATGATTGTCTGTTGTATTCCATTTAATAGTGTTGTACAGATATATACAGAGCCTATGTGAGCAGTTACAAGAGTAGAGTCTGTGAAAAGACAACGTTTCAGGTGCAAACCAATCAACCTGTGCAAACTTGAAAACTACCAATCAGGACCACTAGATGCTGATCCAATGGATGGGGTGAGAGGTGAGATTTTTTTGTGTTTAAGCCTCTCACCCGCCGGTATTTTTTTTTGCGCTTAAGTCCCATCACTCCATCCATTGGATTAGTATCCAGTGGTCTTATTAATAATTTCTAAGTTTGTACGGTTTACATCGGATAGGTTGCCATGTGAAAAAGCACCCTTTGGGATTATGTCTAATTGATCGTTAATAATAATTCTCAACAAAATATATCCCGTAATGTGTGCAATAGCCGTAAAAATTGCAATATCTATTTGTTACCGTATATAAATAACCATAACTCTAGTTCCGACTCATTTCTCTCTCCTCATCAACCACGTCTGGATCTCGCCCAGATCCACGCATGGCGGTCCCCTTCCCTCAGGCTGCCGGCGGCGACCCCATTCCCTATGGCTGCCGGCGGCGGCCCCATGCCTATGGCTCCCCACAGCCTCAAGATCTTCTCGTTACCTGTTTTCTCCCTCTTCCCATCTAGGCTGCTGCCGCGCCCTTCCATCACCGGCGATGACCACCCCCGGCCACGGCGGCGGCGGGCCTCCCCATCTGGCAATGGCGGCGTACCTCCCAAATCGACGGCACTTGGCGCACCCCCGACCGGCGGTGTGCGGCCATCCCCTCCCCGACCGGCGTATTGGCCTCTTCAGTCATCCCCAGCACCGGCTGCGGCGGCGCGGCGGCCGTCATCCAAAGTGGTGGCGCGGTGGCGCCTTCCTGCCTCCCTACGGCGGTGGTGGCTCCCTACGTCTTCCCCGTGGTGGCACTCGGCACACCCCACCGGCAGCAGCGGCGCATCCTTCCCCAACCAGTGGCAGCGGTGCATCCTTCCCCATCCGACGGAAGCGGCTTCCCTTTCCCCGACCGGCGTCGTCGTCGTCGAATCTCGTCCTCAACCAGGACGGCATGGTTTCCTCCCCATATTCAGATCCGGTGTTGGGCGGGCCATCCATGGAGGACTACAGCCATCTCCTCTCATGAGTCCGTGGTCAAGGGGGTCCCAGATTTGGTTTGTATGGGCTAGCGGAGGAGCATCTCCCCTCAGGAATGGCTACTACAGTACTTTTCATGGAGCCGATGGAATTTTTTTGTTCACGAAATGTTGATTTGATTTTACCCCTTTCTTAACCCCCATTTTAATTCCGTGAGATAACTGACTGCTTTTCCCCTTCATTCCGACGACTACTCTCTTTGTTGATCTGCAATATTTTTAGTCAGTCCAAGCCATCAGAGTCTGGAGCTGATAGCGCCGAAGACCGGCGTGCTGCAGTCTGGTGATGAATCCTGGAGAAGCAGGCACACCAGATGCATGGATCTCGGAAGATTGAAGAAACATGTGCTTTTTTCTCTTGTTAACTTGTACATGCCCTAAAGAATATTGTAATCTAACGGACTGCGGCCAGTGTTTTGTTGGATCCAATGGATTTTTGTAGATTAATTTGATTTATTTTTGTACAAAGTGATAAGAACTGCGGCCAGTGATTTGTTGGAATATTCAATGGATTTTTGTAGATTAATTTGATTGATTTTTGTACAAAGTGACGGACGTGAGCAAGATCGGACCGAGTGTTTTCATCCACCCCATTTTTAGTACTTATTGAATTTTTTACGATTCTACTTTTCTTCTGATTTTCATTAGCAATTAATTTTATAATATTAGTGCATATAAATGATGGTTTTGTAAGTTTACTACTGGAACATGCGATTAGCTGACATAGTTCAGTCATTACGGTTGGTTGTGATAGTATTTACGGTATTGGGTGGGTTTATGCCGAATATTTACAAAATACTACCGAGAAGGGAGTAGATTGTGTAAATTGTTTGATTATTACTATTTCATTACGTTGAATTCGAGTGAAAAAAATCTTACTACTAATCCAGAAACGTTCGGAGTGAAAAATAATCTTACTACTAATCTAGAAACCATTTACATAAATTACTACTTCATTTGTGTGAAGTGCTTGATTATTACTATCCTAATCACGCTAAATTAGAGTGAAAAGAATCTTAAATGTTGATATGGTTTCCTGAAATTTGGGAAATAAATAATCCTAAAATTATTACTAGTCCATAAAGAACCATTCCACGTAATCATTTCCTGAATTATAGGCATTTACGGTTTACACATGCACTCCTATTCCTTACGTATATTTATCCATCATTAAAGAAACTTCCACGTAATCACGAACAATCACGGTTTATGGTTGGGAAACAAATCTATCAAAGCTTTACGGTTGGAGAGCTCGCCTCGGATACGGAGGCCATAGAACCGAGAACCGATTAGCTGAATTTAGTTATGGGTGTAAAAGTCAAATAATTACTACTGAACATCGTCTACCGAATTCTCTTTCTCGTTTTTTGGCTAGAACAGACATAATCAACCAATACAATAAAAATCATAAGAAGGATTACTCCTATCGCTCCTCCTCCTCCTACTGCTACCGCACTACACCTCAGTATCACTACATGCTGAAATAAGATTTTACGGTTGCAAAATAAAAACATTACTACTATAGAAACAAAACTTAGGGCGCGTTTAGTTGGCGAATTTTTTTGAGTTGGCTACTGTAGCACTTTCGTTCGTATTTGGTAATTAGTGTCTAATTGTGGACTAATTAGTTTCGAAAGTTTCGTCTTGCGATTTCTCACCCAACTGTGCAATTAGTTTTTTTTCGTCTACATTTAATACTTCGTACATGTACCGTAAAATTTGACGTGACACTTTGAGATGAAAATTTTTAGAACTAAACATGGCCTTACATGTGCGGAGGTGATTGACGTACAGAGCTGATGGAATACTTTACGTCACGGATGGTGGAAGGGCTTTACTATATTTAGGCAGTGTTTGGCGCGGCAACAGGCGCTCCGTCTCCTCCTGCCAGGGCACTGTTGGGCGCTGTTCTAAAATGTAGCGGCTCTCAGGAAGGCTCCGGCTCCCTCTAAACTACACTGCAAGACTGATGGAGCTGGAGGAGCTGCGGTTTGGAGGCTCCGGCGGCTCCTCCACAGTGGTAAGGACGCCGCGTACCCCAGGTAAGGACGACTTCAAGCTTGAGGCCTGCAGCGATGCCTGCAACCGCAAGTGCGCCGCGACGGCTAGACAAGGCAAAACCAAGCAGGCGTGTGGTGGCAGCTGCGCCGAGGCCTGCGGCTTGTACGGTGGCGCCACCACGGTGCTCCAGGCCGCCATGCCGCCGGCGGCAGTGCCCAGCCCCGTCGCGCTGGGTGACGACACCGTCGCCAACACATTCAAGGATTGCAACGAGCACTGCGCCGCCAATGACAACAAGTGTGCCACCAAGTGCAACTACGCCTGCTACATCGTCACCAAGCTAGGCCAAGGCGTCCATGAAGCTGGCCACCGGCGGCTTTGGCCTGCCAGCGTGATTCATGCATCAGCATGCTGCACAAATAAAAGTTCTTTAAAAAAAACAAAATAAAAGGATATATAGCACAAAAGGAGAGCCTGTGTGGATGAAAATCCAGAAAAAAAATAATTAAAATTTCAGTTTCATATCCTCCATATAAGAAAGGGCAAGCCTTAATATAATGCATTTCTCCAGCACAAATGATTTAAGCTGAGGTCTTTAGTTCAACTCTTCAAATTTACAAAATCATATCATGTTATGTGTTACTATTCTTTTCATTCCGCGCGATATGGTAGGCTTCAAAGGAAGTACCAGGATATTTTTTTTCCATTTATGCGTACTATTCTTTTGGAAAGAGTTATTGTAAAACATATCATGTTCTTTTGTTAATTATTGCAATCTACCGGTTCATCAGTTTCAGAATCCGTGAGAGAAAGACACAGATGGGAGATGTACATAGCTTATGTTTGAATTAAACAAACATGAGCTGTGAAGAAAATAATATCACAGTGTTTACACTTAGAATTGGACTCTGGAGTTTTGGAAGGAGTTAGAGTCCGAATCAAAGTTGTTTCCAAGGTGTTTCGAACTCTGACGAAGGCAAGTCCAAAAGAACATCAAATCTATCGGCCGTTCTTCTACTTTTCAGCCTTATGTTTATGTAGCACAAATCTTTGCGGATTTGCGCTAAAAATACGTTGGTTCTTTCCACGAAAACGAAGGAACATATCCTCTCTGGATCTGTCTCGTAGATCCTCCATACTCATCCACGAAAGCGAGGAGGTTATCTTTGAACAAATCGACGATGATTTGTCTCGATGATTTGGTTGGATTATCTGAGAAAATTCCCTATGTAGCACCCAAAAAACTTGCTCTTCCTTATTTAGCACCTAATGTTCAAAACTTCCCTATCAATGCACTGTTGAAAATTTTCTCCCCCTATTCGACACTTCTTTTAATTGCTCCGGGCACTTAATGGTGTTAACTCTAAGGGGGAATGACAATTTTGCCCCTCTTTGGTTTCCAGCCAGGTCGCTGGTGTGCTGGGCGCCATTTTCTTTTGTTCGTGTTTTGTTTTCATCCCTACTTTATTTGATGCCATTTTTTTTTGTTTTAGGTTTTTTTTCCTTCAGTCCTCACTTTTTGCACAACAACATTCTTCTTTGCACATACATCTCCAACAACATATCCATGCACTTAGGATTGAAATGCACCATGACAATAAACCAAACAAATTTGAGAGAACGTCCAAGTTCACATAAACACTACCATCCAGGTTCACATCCACACATAAATACTAGAATTCAGGTTCACGTAACAGATCACAGACTGGATTCACATAAAGTTCACGTGCAGTACAAAGCACATATGAGATTATTGCATATCACAATCACAAACTCAAGAATCGTTTATTCCTTGCAAGACTAGCAGGATCAACCCTTTCACAACAATTGGCGCAAATGATCACGGTGTTTTTCTCCCGAGCACATGGGCGACGATCTAGTCGTAGGATTGATAGTCATCAGAATGCCCGGCATTTTCTTTTTTGTTTGGTTTAGGCTGTGTGCTTTTTGCAGAGGCCGGAAGTTAGTTCGCAATTATTGTATCAACTCGATGTTATGATTGTGAATTAATAAAACCCTTCCTTTTTGAAGAAAAATACGATATAGGATGCATTGGTCTCAGCTGTGTAATAAACACCTTGATAGGAATAAGGCATATATGCATACAGATAGCTAAGAGTCGACTAATACAATATATAAGATGAAGTCACTTGAAGATGACCATGAATGAGTACTTACATAAAGCATTTGGATGATACGTACGTGCAATTTGAGTTTCTCAGAAGTGGTAGTGAGACAACAAAAATATTTTAATACTCTATTGTCTAGTATTTTAAATAAAATCACGTTTGTTGTTCTGGGGACCTTTTTTTCCTCACCGGTAAGGTAAAACCGAATTTTAGCATCATCTAACCTTTTTTTTACAAAACTCACATACTACAAAAGAAAACTCTTTGTAAAACTATTTTTGGTTTTGTCCCTTTTTTCTACACTAGTGTGGCAACGGTCCTGAAGGTGAACAGGTCCATTCGAGCACAGTTGGCACACATCAAAAAAATCTCCCTGGCTGGCGTGGCATGTACTGTGCATTGGCGGTACTTATTGACCATATTTGGTCGCCAAATAAGAGGAGAAACTAGCATGATTACACACATATGTTTTTTATATTGACACATTTCCACATGTATTGGATGAAAAGTGCCTTGTAGGATAAATAGATGAAAAACGTGGAAATGGAGGTCAAAAGTGCGCAACCAGAGAAAGCGTAAATAAGCAAATGAAGCAAAGGCCCGTTTACCTGTTGATTCTGGGCCCAAAGCGCACATGAACACACTCCAGGTCCATCAAGCAGCCCACCAAACAAAGGTGGTGCCGGGGCAGCCCAACCAGGGGGTGGCCGCACCTAGGCCGGCGCGTCTCGGGCCCACCTTTCGTCTGGCGGTGCAATAACTTCAGACGAGGATGGTGCAGGGTGGATCTCCGTAGAATATTCCCTGCAACCGCCTTAGGACTAGTATAAAGAGAGGAGGAGAGCTCCCTCACTCACACA